GTTTTTACCAAAAAACCAAAAAAAAATTTTTTCATATTTTTTTCCCCTCCCCGGGGGGGTGTTGGCCCCTTGCTTCACCCCCAAATTAAAAAAATAAAAGGAGGGGGGGGGGGGAAAAAAAAAAAAATTGGGTGAAAAAAAAAAAAAAAGGGTCCCTTTTTAAAAAAAAACCCCGCGGGGGGGGGGGGGGTTTTTAAAGGGGGGGGCCACAACCAGAAGGTGGGGGGGGGGGGGGGGGGGGGGCACTCATAGTCGTGCATGTGTGCCAGACGCACGCAGCTGATTCAACGGTGTCGTTGTGTCACCCACCATTGCTCGACACCCCACAGCAGTAGCACACATCAGTCTTGGACAAACAAAGCAATAATAGTAGTCTGTGTAGGCTCGTTGTCACGACCATGTTCGCGCAGACGAAATAATCCGTTATTGAGTGCTGGCACACAGCAGTCTGGTGGGACAATGCATTATCTGATGTGGGAGATGCACCACAGAGTCATCAGGCGCATCAGGCGCGGGGGTCACAAAGTCCACACAGCAGCAATAGTAGTAGAGAGGCATGTGTACAAATGTGTGTGCTGTGTGCCAGACGCACGCAGCTGATTCAACGGCGTCGTTGTGTCACGTGTGCGTCACCCGCGCTGCTGGTGGACAGCGCTGCTGGTGGACAGCAGCAGCGCGTGTATGCGATGTGTGCCAGGCGCTGCGTGCCCCCTCCAGAAAGGGGCACGCGTGGCGTGCTGATACACAGCAGGTGGTTGTGGGACACAGCAGGAATAGAGTCGCTAGACCTGAAGAACAGACAGGCAGCTTGTAACCACTTGAGTTGAGTATTGAAGGGTTGGGCTGGGTTCGGTCTCGGGGGGGGTTGGGTTTGGTTGGGCTGGTTTTGGTTAAGTTACTTGAGTTGAGGATTGACTCTATGTGACACAAGTTACTTGAGTTCAGCATTGACTCTTTGTGACACAAGTTGCTTGAGCTGAGTATTGATTTCCATTACACAAGTTGAGTTGAGTATTGATTTCCATTGCACAAGTTCCTTGAGTGGAGCATTGATTTCCATTACACAAGTTACTTGCGTTGAGTACTGATTTCCGTCACATTTTTCACTTGATCTAAGTAGGAAAATTGTCGGACAGATTTCTTTTTTGCTTTTTTGCGGGATTGTGCTGGCTAAAACCCCGATTTGCAATTTGGAGAAGGAGTACACTGGTGGTTCGGTTGAAGGGCTCTCATTGGCCGCCCATGGGTTGCCCATGGGCCGCCCGTGGGCAGCCCATGGGTCGTTTGGGAAAACTGCTGTAGAAAGGATGGGAGACCCACCGTTGGGGGGTCAAGAGAAAGAGAAAAACACAAGAGAAACACGCCGGGGTGTCGAATACTCTGTGTATCGCAACTCTGACAGTTACCAGCCGCCGGGGGGGGGGGAGGGGTCTTCGGCCGTGCGCTGGGCATTGTGAGCGCCCCAAAAAACAGCAGTTTCGATACAGACGAGCCCAGTTCAATCCTCACACACCGCGAGGGGGAGGGTTTGAATGCCATCACCGTTGTACCAGTATCTAAAGCTACAACACATGATTCGCGTCAAAAGGGTCCTCCAGCCCAATTTGTGACGAGATCGCAGTGTGGACCTGGCTGGTCCGACGGGCTGGAGGGGAGGGAGAGGCCTTGCGGGCGCCACCACGGATGCGGCGTTGGGCGTTAGGAGTGTCGCTTGCTGCCGAAGTCGTCGACGGGGCTGTCTCTCTCGTCCCGCATGTTCGATTGCGGCTTGTCTGTCGCCTGTCGCCCTGCTGACGCTCACGGCCGGCCGTCCCTCTTGAGTAGTTGCTGGAGGCCGATCGGTTGCGGTGGCGCGCCGGTCCCGCAGCTTGGTGGCCTACTCGGTGGCCTTGGAAGCTCTCTGCTGCCGTTCTTGACGCACCAATTCCTGCGCATGGTGGGCGGCGGTGGTCTCTTCGTCCCGCGCCGGCGCCGTCGTCGAAAAAGAGCCTTCCAAGCTCCCCTACTCTTCCTACCCATCCCGTCGAGACCCGCCTATTTAAGACGACCTTTTCATCACCGATCAGCGGCGTGCCGTAGACAGCGCCGCCGCCGCTGCCAACCTAGGTGAGGAGGTGCGGCCCGACTCTCCGCTACTGTAGGCGGAAAGGAAACAGCGATGACGAGACCGTTCGAGAGAGCAACTGATCGAAACCGGATATTCGTCAGCGTCATGCCGAACTGGAAACCAACGAAAAAAAAAAGGCGAACACAACTCCGCTCGTTCTGCAATCTCCGACAGTGAACGACGAGAACACCGCTACTTCTCCACACTAGAGAGGCTTAAGTCTGGCAATCGCGCTGATGTGGCCGTTCTGGCCGCACTTGTTGCATGTCGTGAGAGGGCAGTTGCGGAAAGAGTGGACAATCGCTTGGCCGGTCTTGCCCGCGGTGCGGCATTTGTTGCATTCAGCCTGCCTGCTTCCCTCGCCGCCCCGGCCCTTGTTGCGCGTCCCCTGGTTGAACTGTGACCTGTAGCCCGCCTGGGATGCTAAGGCGAGCGGCTGCATGCCGTGGGCTCCGTAACCGCCCCCTGCCCCAACTATGCCTCCCCCGATGAGCGCGGGGTAGTGCTTCGACAAGCCGGCTTGAAGCCGCGCCTCTTCAAGCTTCTTGAGCACAGCCTCACGGTCCACTGTCCGGTTCTTGTGAGCAGAAAATGACAACCTAATGTACCGTCTTT